AAAAGACGGTTACTTCTCTTCATCTGTAAATTATCTCATATTTTCCCTCCCCATGTGTAACGTGTATACGAGCCAGTTTCCCTTAGAAAGTCCTCCACGAAGGCATCCATCCTCTTAGGCAGATAGCCCTCGAGGCTTTGCCATAATCACACACGCACTCATATTTTCCCATCTACGCATGTAATCACTTTGTAATTTGTAGCAGCTATTCATGTTTCCGTTAAATTATCGATTTTTTCATAAATCGTATTAGTTATTTCAAGCCCCTAGACAGCCACCTCGGAAGTACGAATCCTATATATATATTCAATTTGGTGATTCTTTACCAGGAGAAGAAAGGTTAATCCTTCACATAGAAGGAACAAACATTTTCAATTTCGGTCCAATATTTCCTTTTTCATTAATATATACATATATATACATACCCAAGTAGCACACGACGTTTCAAAGACGTTGCAAACTGGTCCGAGAGGTTGCAAAGTGGTCGTGGTAACTTTTATGACGTCTTTACAACGCTGCGAAGACGCAAAATATTTGCCGTTGCATTTTGGCAATTTGTCGACGTCGCTGAAACGTCATGATATGACTGCTTTTAGACGTGGTCGTTTTAGCATTTTTTTCATAGTTCATCAGCATTGCTTTTAGAATGAAAAGAGACTAAATATGCTCTTTCAAGAATCTGAAGTCTGCATAAGATTTGTAATATTTCATTACTTTATTTCATCTAAATATATTAATCTAAGGTAGATTCATCTAATGAAACATAAATTTAATATAAATACTTTTGATTTATTAAATTTAATTAGTACTAAAAGTATGTGCTAAATTATTGTTTTAAACTTTGTTAAAATAATTAATACTAATAAATATTTTTTATAAATATTATAGCAAAATATTTAAAAAGTAAACTAAAATTTTGTTAAAAAAATACTTAAAAATTTTTTATAAATATTATGGCAAAATATTTAAAAATGAAACGAATCTATAAAGTAAGTTATAAAGTTAAGCATTTTATATATTTTAAAAAATCATATTTCCGAAAGCAATGCGAATCACATGTTAGCAATTATTTCACTGCTGAAACATGACTTTATTTATTATTTTTGAAGTAAGGACGAATTTATTTGAATTAATATTCTGACATAATATGAAACATTTTACCGCATAAAGTGCAAAAAGTACAATTTTCGCGAAGCTATGATTGTGCGTGAAGATGTATTCACGGATAAAAATGGTGTGATTTTAAGAATTCCGAGAAAACGTCCTATGTTAAAAGACGATGCATATCCATACATATTTAACGGTTGTTAAATATATATGACGGAAATTCACCGACAGTAAGGACAAGCAGAACGGAAAAATTAATGGAAAGGAACGAAATATTTACACATTTCATGGAAAATGACAAAATTAATGGCTTTGATAAATTACTATTTAAAGGTTGACATCAAACTTAGAGAAACTGTGAACAAAAATACGAAATTCATTACCTATAAAAATTCTAATGAACTGTTTGTTATGTTTTTACGTTTTTGGTCATCTCCACAAATTTCAAATGAATTCAAAAATGCTTGGTTTAATTCTAGTATAAGGTACACTCGGGATTTGGTGACATTGGCATTACAAATGATTTAGGGAGCCCGATAAATATTTTTTTGTAAATATAATCTTGTAAACATTGTTCGTTATTCTATTCAGTTAAAATAATTCTTCTAGGCCATTTAAAAAAGGTTCTACTAAATTATCAGAAGAACCGTCAAAAGGTTTAAGGTAATCGGCTGAAAGGTACACTGCATTGCTGTTCGGCCGGTGTTATTTATTGGGTGCTTATTATAAACGAACATCTCGAGGTCAGTTGTGCGCGCTTTGGCTAGCTGCCAAATTCGAACAACCAGCTTCGTTAACTGCGCAGTTTCGTTAGACTCCATTTTATTTTCGTGAATTTTGGTTTCACGGTTTTCTAATTCATCGTCGGAATTAAATACTGGAGAGCTTCAATGCAGAAAGAGGACGATGTACATGAATATAATGATGGCAGTTTATTTTGAATTGAGGAGAAATCATCTTAGGAATGCCAAATTCGTGTTATTTTGTTTGTGAATATCTGCTGACACCAAAATTGCTCTCAATATTCAGTGGCTCCAACGGTGCAATATTTGGATACACGGATATATGATCGAAAAAAAAGTGTTAAGGAAACATTAGCATTACTACGAAATATTGTAATCTATAATTATGTAATATTTAATTGTGTAATATTAAAAAACACTAAATATTTTTTATTGATTGCAAATGGCAGTTTTATTACTTTTCGTTTGGTATCTATTCTTCCAAATACTGTGTAATTCGAGTTTTATTTAAATATTACTGTTATGTATGTCTATTAGATTATCCCAATAAATGAATGTTCTAAATTAGGTTTTATTCTTTATTAAATTTAAGTATATTCTATTTTCTTCGCTTACTTTTTATCTGCTTGTGATAACAAAAAAATTCATCGTGTGCTATTTAACGAAGAGCTTACTTTAAAGTACTTGGCTTACTATCGTATACTATATTATTTAAATTATCTCCGTACAGTATAAAAAGGAAAGTTATTGATTATAAAAAGTGCATGAAATGAAATTTAAATGTATGTAAAATGTAGAAACTAAAAGTAAGTAAATACATTTACATATGATCGAAAGAAATGGTGTTAAGAAACATCAGCATTAGTAGTAAATACTGCAAATCATAATTATTGCGCTTTTAATTGCTTACTATTTAAAAAACACAAATAATATTTTATTAGTTAGAAATTTTAGTTCTGTTACCTTCCTTCTGCTATTTATACTTTTAAACCCTGCTAGTTCATGTTTTTTCTTAAATAGTGCTAATGTTGTTTGTTAGATTTTATTTTATTCTAGATATGAATATGGGAAGTGGTCTTATTTGGTTACTAGTTTTATATATATTTTTGTTGATTTGTATTGATCACATTTATTAACTACTTTATACAATCTTTCATTTGCACATCTTGGAGATATAAAAGTTAATGGCTATATTTTTTACTATGAAACGCGAATAAATGTATACTTAAGCTCAGGTAAAATACTGATTATGTTACCTGACGCTTCCTAATTTATCATAACAGGGGCAATTTTCATTGTCTTTGAGATTTAACAGAAATAAATGTGATAATGCTGTCATAATTAGAAATATTCGTTTTTTACACGCATATATAGCTTTACTTTTATTTATGTCTACTATTATTGTTATATATTTATAATAATCACTTTTATAATTACTCTCACTTACATACTAAAGGATTAAGGAAAAAAATGATAAAATATTAAGTAACCATAACTTAGGATTTAAGTTATTTAAAAAATATAATTTAAAGTACTGAAAATAATTAAAGCTATTATTAATTATGCATATTTAGTTTAAAGAGAAAAAACTGTGTTATCTTCTTGTTTTCAGGAAATGATGAAATACTTAAACTTTAGAAAAATACAAGGAATACAAAGTTTTAAAAAAGAAGAAAAATACATTAATTATTAAGCTTATTTTCTGCATAAATCATTATGTAACACAAGGACGTCATAACTACGTTTTTACAACTGTTGCAAAAAGGTTGAATTTTGCGAACATTTAGGCGTCGTTAAGACGTCGTAATACGATGCTTTCACAACCAAAATATAACGTGAGAAAGATCCAATAACGACTTCTGTTCAACAGAAACCTGATCTGCAAAGACATAATAAAGACGTCTTTGCAACGGTTGCAAAACAGTGGAGTTTCTCGGACATGTGGGCGTCTCAAAGACGACATATTGCAACGATATCTGCGTTTGCAACGTCGTTACGACGTTGTGTGCTACCTGAGTATATATAGATAGATAGATAGATAGGGTGCTGTCAGAAGTAAGCAATAGGTTTAATTCCCTTAAATATTAATCTAGCTGTTTACTTCCAATTGCAAAACTTTTCAAAATAAAGTAGAGACTTTGCACTAAAGGTGGAAGTGTTTTTCTATACATAATGTCTGACTTTTATATTTTATGCGTAGAGCAAAAGAACAGCTAGTAAAATGCAACTCACTTTTGAACAAAGCTAATCATAAAGCCCTCGTTATAAATTCTGTAACTGGAGTCATGAAGCTATTACATACTCCTGCTACTCAAATTTTCCATAAAACTATCTACCTTATTTTAAGTAACTCTGCAGTTAGAAGTATATGTCTTGGATTAATAGTTAAGAAAAGCTTGAAACCATTTCCATCATGTATAAATAAAGTATTTTACTGGAATATTTTTATATTAATCAGTATTTAATAAATTCGAAAGAAGATAAAAATTAGTAATAAGGATTATTTTAGTATAAGTAAAACACATAGTTAGAGCACTTAATTTCAAAGGTCAAACAATACCTTCTTCAGCTGTTAAAACAAACATGAGACTAATAAAAACACATAACTTTTCCGATGTTTTTGGGTCAAATGCTAGAAAAGAGGTGGCCTCCTATTGTCAATTAATTAAGGTCAAATAAACGAAAAGCAGTTAAGGATTATGTTCTTTAAAATTTAGCGGTAAATAGGAAACTGATTATTGCTAATACATTATTCTTCGGAGTTGCATTAATTCTTTCTGCTAAAATTTGGTCCAAATTCAAATATACGCTACCAGAAGTGTATTACTAATTATAACTTAATTAGTTGTCTAAATTATATTGTTCTGCTGCATTTAATTAATGTTGAACTCACATAAATTGATTTTAAACCACCATAGATTAAATAGGTCATACTTTAATCGGTCTAAAAGATTCAAGAAATCTAAATTTTACTATCAAATTATCCTATATTTTGGTTATGTTTTTGAATCATGAATTTTCTGTTGCTTCGAAAGTACACACATGCAGCACCTTTGAATAGCATCATAAAAATATCGGAATGAGAAAAATTAGCTGAAAATGATTACTGTGAAAGAAAAGAAGCACATTACGAAATAAAGTAAACCAAGATGAAGTTTCTGTAGTTGCTTTTCTTTATTATTATTTTTTACATGAAACATGAGTACAAGTAAGTAGGATCTAATATTTCACTCATTCGCCGGCTTTGCCATTTATCCAACAATCAATATCATAAATTTTTTAGCAAAAACATACCGAACTTTAAACTTGGAAAACAACTTGGAAATATTTAACAACATTTACCCGCAAACAATTTTGATTAAGTGCAGTTTTTCATTTTAAAGATTTCAGAATGCGTTTAAATAACTTGATATAATTTTTCTGTCATTTTACAGATTATATAGAATATTATAAAAAATATTTTTATTCAATTTGGTACTCTAGTTTCAACGATATGAACGAACGAATATTCAATGCGCTAAGCTAAGTAGTGCATTTTAATCATATTTGGTGAATAGCTTCTGAAGCCATTTGAGCGGAAATTACAAAGCTGTTATTAATACTTAATACGTAATTAATACATAAGCTTAATACATAACTGAATTAATAATACAAAACTTATAGCTCAAGCTTCTTTTGTTTTTAGTTCTTTATAAAATATTAGACATTTTAAATATATTTACATGTATTGGGAAATGTATTAAATACACATGTATTTGGATACGCTTAGAAATTCATGCATTTTGGAATTAAAATTTAGAGCTACAAAAACACAGGAATTCTTTTCGAAAGAAATTGAAGGTAATTGTGAGCAAATTTAGTTTCACATTTTCATTGTGATACGCTGATTTAATAGGCGATTTTATTTTGTTAAATATATTAATAACTGTAATTGCGATATTTAAGGCAGATTTCGTTGAGTTGCATACATTCTTCATTTCAATGAATTTATCATTGTTATAAGCATTCTAATTAGTAGCTATTTTATATTTGATATATCAAACAACATGTAGATTTTAGAACAATTCCTTATATAATAAGAAGATAAAATTTAACAGATTTGAGATAAAGATATACTACAAGTACATGAACTATGTAACTTGAGATAAAAAACACAAATTGATCTTCCCGAAAACAGAATGAAAAAGGGAAAATTTGTGAAACAGACACATAATATTCATTTTAAAATTTAAAGCATATTTTGAAGAACATAAAAATGTCACACACTTTATCAAAATATGTGTATGATACAGGGGACTGAAAATTTAACAGCAGAAAAACATTTTCATTTACTGAAGGAACTTAGCAAGCGTTGTAGTTACAAGACAAAGTACAATAACCATGTTCTGTGGCAGGAAGAAACTAAGTCTAATCATTGATTGAAAGATTAAGTCCATGAAACTGCGATTGTATGACTCATGCTAACTTCAAATGAAATAATCAAACTGGGAAACACTTATATCGCCAAGGCCGGCTTCAGATATTTCATATTATCAGTATGCTATGCTAGAAACTGACTTCCTCATGATCCAGTATTTGCTTCTGTAGTGAGTCCGGCTTTCTAAAGTTAACACTCGTTCTTGATAAGCTGGATGAAGATTATTTTTAACCAAAAACCTTAGCTAAACAACTTTAGTTTTAAAAATAAGTGTGTAAGGAGTATATTTGTAAAATTTTAGTTTTATTTTATTTATCCATTTCTGTTAAAAAATTGCATTTGTATAAAAGATTTTTTTAAACATGCATATCTCTAAATTATTTGGAATCAATATAAAAATATTCTACATTTGATTCTTAATCTACTGCCTAATTCATTCGTTGCTAGGGCATACAGTTCATGTATTTACATAAATGTATTTTAGTTAAAATACGATATTTTGATTTTCGAAAGGAATTGAAAAAATATAGTAATAGTGGCTAAAACTTTTATATATGCATACATATGAACACACACATATGTATATATGCTTGCACACATATATCCTGCTTTTTATCCAATTGATTTGATCTACAATATTTTGATGTAAGTCTGGAATGCTTTTGACTAATGCTGTGATGGGTGTTATATTTGAAATAACGATATGCAACAGATAGCGCCAACCTTCGTAAATATTGCATAGGTTCAGTAATGAAAAAATAAATTGAGTAAAAATAAATAAAATTTGAGACCTATTAAACATGCGTGAATTAAATCGAAGAATTGTGTAAATATAATACAGAAAGTCTGAACTAATCTCTTTTTTTAAAAAAAAGGATACAAAACTGAAAAAATAAGATAGCTATATTTTGAAGCTTTATATAATTAAAGCTGTTAAATATTTTCATGCTATAAATAACTTCAGATGCAAGAAGTTTTGTAAATGCGTCTGAATGGCTGAATCTAGAAGAGATCTTCTAAAAACATGTATAACTTGTGCAGCAAGAAATACATTGCCAGTAATTAACAAGAGATAAAAACAGATAAATAAATAAGAGCTAAATATTTTTATCATTATAAGGATAATATTTATTTTTTCATTGCTAAATTAACTGCTATATTTGGTGTAGCAAAGCAAACTGCTTAAAATATAAATATGTCTTATCATAAGTCATGATAATATGAATTCATGCAACGGTAATTTTCTGAATTTATCAATAGTCATACAAAGCAGGAGTGCTTTTTCAACTTTACCGGCATCACATTAGCAAAGCCGAAATATCTGCCGACTACTCCCTCACTCAAAGAGCATTAAGTTTTGTAACACACCCCATCTGAAGCCGGCGATGACTTTTCCATATCAAATCATTACTCAATTTTTATACAGGGGTTATAACCCCAGTTTCACCATCCATAGGATCGCTAGTGTGTCTACGACTGCCGGTTGAGGATAGGGCCCGAACAATCTTCGGATTGTACAGCTTCGGATCAGATACCATGCGTACGAAGAAGCTCCTTTTGTATTTCAAACTATGTTTCCGTTTGCGCTCTAGGAGGAACACTTCATCTACTGATTCCGCTACTTGCTCTTTAATTTCTTTTTCTTCTTCCTCTTCTTCTTCCTCCTCTTCCTCTTCCTCCTCTTCTTCTTCCTACATGGAAACGACATATTATGATAACCTGCATTAGACATTCTTCATTATAGAAATTATCCATTAAAATTTGAAGAATAATTATCTTAACTCAGTGCAAAATTTCGAGGCACCATATTATCACGAAGAGACTAAATTCTTTCTTAAAATAAAGAGCACACCAAAAGATAAAAAATCAGCACTTTTGCAATGGCACAAAAAATTTACAATGTTGTTAAGTGCAGAAGTGGATTTATGGAATCGCTGAAGTTGCAATTGCGAGGGAATCCGTGGACCTTCCAAGAGACCCTCAAATCATTAATTAATCAAAGAAAATTATTTAAATTGTCTTACCTTTTCTCTTACGTACCCTTAGTCTTAAACTGAGAGACCCTCAAAAGATCAGATCATGTGGTTCCCTGTTCATAAATCTACTACTTCTTAAAGAATGCAACTAGTCATTAAGATTCTTATGGTCAAAGTGCCATGCATATCAAATTATATTTATCATTTACCGAAAGTTTTCTTATATTTATTCCCTAATCGAACTTCTACGGAAATTAACAGGCTTCCCACGTTTTAAGTTCTATCAGTTAAGACAAAGAAAGTAATCAAGTTAAATTTTAGATAGAAATAAAAAGTTTAAAACTAATATATATTGACACATTAGAAATTTCAAAAAAAAAATAATAATTCATAATTAATATTACTGTGGCATAATTTATCTCTTTGTTTACAATTTACCTCTTTCTTATATATATATAAGTCAAATTAAAAACATAAGGAATATTTCCACAGACATTCAAGATATTAAAAGTGATATTTCTTTACTAATTAGCTAACTAAAGGATAACCGAGTACGAACTAAATTTATCAATTTTTATGTCAAAAAGGCAGGCATTAATTTTAAATTTTAATCTTTTAGTATAAGAGATATGAAGGCAATATCTGAAACCTTTAATAAGGAGGATACAGTTGGATGGCTTAAATTGGAAGACTTGTACAAATGTAAAAAAACAGTACGATGTATAAATTTACAATATTATTTTTCTGGCTTCTAAGCTTTTAATAACCCAGAGCCAATTTATCTTCTTAAGTCGCAATTACAGCTCGTTTTGCTTGAAGATTTCTTATCATTTTCTCGATCTTATTTTCTGTTTAATGACTTAGAAGACTCAGAAGTTTCAAAAATAAATTTACTTACTTATTCGACTTAAGAGTTAGTCGCACTTTCTAGCCATGCCATAATTACCATTTTCACCAGTCTAATTTTTACTGTTCTCTTAAACCTGGCAACTGCAGGCAAAAAACAACTGCCTTTGGAATTTAAAAAAAAAAACAAACAAAAAAAATTCATTGTTGTTACTAGCACGATGTACAGAATAAGTTTTCGGCTTTTAAAATTATTCTGGTCTAATTCTTTTTTTAAAATATGACAATTTCATTTAATTGAATATTTTATAATATAACGTTTATTCCTTTTGTTTACATTTGCATTATCCTGTTTTATTTAAACATTTTTACATGTTTTAATAACATCAATGATTCGATATTTGCGTTTTGTTCTAACAGTTTTTTAGCATTTAAATAATGTTTTTCATTTTATATAATGTTCTAAAGAATTTTTAAATTCATCTGCATCGTGTAGGGCAATTCTTGATATGCATACGAATTTCCTAAATTTGGGGAACTGAATATTTACGTTTAATTTCATTTCTATTTTTTTATTTGCATATACATAGCAAGGACGAAATACGATGTCTGAACCGCTGCAAAGAGTTTAAAAGAAGCTAATTCCCACTGAAGAGTCAGCATTGTTTCTCTCTTTTTTTTTTCAATTGTTCATTGTAGGTAATTTTCTCTATACGGCAATAATTATTATTAGCAAATTTTTCTCTCAGTTTTATGCATATCCGCTACTATTGGCCATTGCTTGTAGAGCCATTTTTCCATCTACCACTTTTCGTTCTATTGTTTCAAGTACGTTTGGAAAAAACTTTCTAAAATTTGTTAAACTTTTGAATACATTTTTTAAACTTTTAATTTCCTATTACTTTTAAATATTACTTAAAAATTACGACTTTGTAAATTGAAAATTTTTAGCTATCTTTATTGGCTTTACAAATTTAACTTTGAAATATAAGAATTATAATAGGAGTATTTCCCTATAAATTATATACATATATATATGCACATACATGAAATTGACAAAAATATAACTCATCTCTGGCTTATAAATGATACATGAGCATGTTTAAACATTAAAAAGTTATTAAATTTTGCAAGGAAAATATGTTTATCGTACACGTACGTCAGTTAATCGTATATATAAATCAAATCGGCCAGACCGTGTATATAAATCAAAGAATATATTTACTGACGTTTCTAAATAATTATGTGTTCATGCATCTTAAAATTAGTCCAAACTATTGAGTTTATTTATTAGAAGAAAAGAAGTCAAGGCATGAGAACAGCAAAGACATTCTGTAATTAATATATAAAAATACCTTTTTTAAGGTATTTTTGGAAATTTGAGCTCTGAAAAGAAGCTAAACCATAGGACAATTGGACGGTTAATATACTAAATAAGCATGGAAATTTTCTTACGGCTATTTCTTCTTTATTAACATCCACTTTTACAATTTCGAGCAGTTCTTCAGTAAACATCGTTATGACGTCCCAAGCATGGATGATATCAGCATCTGTTGCATGTTGAGCACATACGCAAAAACGGATTACATAATTACCACTCAGTGAAGCTGGTACCATGTGCAATTTTCCTGAAGCATTGATTGAGGATAGAAGTTTCTGGTTTAAATTGTTAGATCCCTAAATGATAAACAAAAACAAAATTTAAAGTTTTGAATAAATAAAACCTGCATTTCTTAATACATAGTAATAAAATTTAACTTTTGCCGTTTAAAATAAATGCTTCGGATATGAGCAGAATTTAAAAAGTAACTACATTGAAGTCATAGCGTCCAAACAAAAAGAGCTTCGACAGAAAAAGCAGCTAATACTGTCGCAAAACCCGTAATTTTAGTAAGAAGTTGAAGTACCAGTACACGCGTTGTCTTGCCAACTGATTCTTGCAAACGAATACAGATATGCTTTTAAAACCAAGTGTGGTGTAGATGGCAGCAAAGAACAGTTATAAGGTATTTCTCCCGCCTTCTTAGCGAGCCTTCGTGGTGTAGTGGTCTGTACGCTCAGCGCGTAATTGAGAGGTCAGCGGTTCGATTCCTGGCGAAGAAGTTGCTAATTTTTCATCTTGTCTGCTTTCAAAAATACCTAATGACTCTACACAGTTCTCAACTTTTGCATGTGTTTGAAAGTGAGCACTATTTAAAAGTATTTTTTCTATATACTATTTAATAACCTACAAATCCACCGACAAATATTAAGTTAGAATTCAAATTAACCAAATAAAGTGTGAAATGCATCTGAATTTCATTGCAGAATCTACTCGAAATACAGAAATATTTTTTTTTTTACTTTCTTTTATTTCTGCGCCAACCAGCGGCCGAGCGGTAAGGTCGCTGAGCACTGGTAGTTCGGTCCGAGGTTCGAATACCGCAAACGGGCTGGCTGCATGGGCGTTTTCGTGGTTTTCCCCATGTGTAACGTGTATACGAGCCCGTTTCCCGTAGAAAGTCCTCCACGAAGGCAGCCCTCCCCTTAGGCAGATAGCCCTAGTGTATTTTGCCATGATTAAATAAACCAACTACATCTTTTATTTCTTTTATCGCATAAGAAAAAATTACATTCTTATTTACATACCACTCTCTCATTTTTTATATAGACGATGTCTTGAGTAAAATTGTAGGTGCTCGTTACTGAATTCATTATAATAAATTAATTTTATTGCTTTCATATATCTGTAAAAATATTTTGTTTCTATTACTTTTTAAATGCCGCATCAAATACTTTAATGCATTCCCTTAAGCATAATTTGATAGAGGTAACATAAATTTGCTTTTATAGATTTGAGTGTGTAACAGCCCTTTTTTAGACAGATTTGTTGTCGAAGTAATACATTTTCGGCTATCCGAAAACTAGAATTGAGGCTTTAGAATCAATAATTATTCTCATTTAATTACTCCTAAGTATATAATTGTCATTTAATTAAATGCAAAGTATGCGTGAGTTAGTACAGTAACGGCTTTATACACATTTATGTGTATATTTTAAGAGGTTTTGGTTAACATTTAAATTGTATCTTAAAAGTAGATCAATACCTACAAAATCAGCTTGTTTTATTCAAGACTGGTCAGTACACTGAAACGAGTTTTTCAACGAATCTCATTTTATCTTCTTCTATACTAAAGCATACCAAAACTAAAATTTATTTAAGAAACATTTCTTTCTTTCAACACTTAATGCATTAAAAAACTTTTCAGGCCTATCCTCATTCAAATCTAGCAAAACCTTTCTTTAAAAACTGAATTCGAAATCAGTACAAATGGTAACAATGGAATAGACTACACTAACCACGATGTCTTATCTTCGGATTTAGCAATTCACGAATATGACTTCTTATATCTTAATTCCTTGATTATGACCTTATATGTCTTAATGCCTCGATTAAATGTCGATTTAACAATGAAATCAGAAATATAATATTACATATAACAGCCGTAAATAACTGAAACTTGTCAAGAAACTTTAATATATGAGAAGAAAAGTTGCTAGAAAATAAATAGTATAAAATTTTGCAGATTAATGCTTGGGATCCGTATATTTTCAAACAATTCATTTCATGCACGTAAATCTTACCTACTATTAATAAAAGAGAAAAATAATCTACCTCCTTGCAGTTGGTTCAGATTATTTATATTAATAATATATACGATTTGCTTGCCAGACATGCGATTTAGTTGACCACATGAACCATTTTGTAAGCTTAATCTCATTCGTTCGACGAGATTCCTTGGGGAAATTCAAGTGGCAATTCTTCCATTTTTGAAAAAGCGTGAAAAAGATGTCTTTCAAATTTTCCATGTGCTATTCCTTTCTACACGCGACTTGATGCACTTGAATTTTCCATTATTCTAGTACTCGTCAGAATAGAATTAAAGACAAGTTGTCAAAATCAATAATGCTTTGAAATAATGTAATTATAGGTAAAAGTTTAAATGTGTTTATTAAAATGTTATTAACAGTTTAGTGTTACTAACAGTTAAATAATATTCAATTAATGCGCATGATTAAGATATTGTAAAAATTACCTGATATTATAATGTTTGACTATAGATTTAGGAGAACTAACTTCCGAAGTTCAGCATCTCTAAACTATTCAAGGATGCAACCTGAATTTGCTATAGATATCTAAGCTTTGTGGGATTACGTACTTAATTTGAAAATTATATAGATAAATACTTTATTTAATTATATGTTTTATTTCATAAACATACTGACATGTCTATATATAAAATCAAAATTATATTCTTTGAGGTAAAATGAAATGCAAAACCAAACTACCCATTAAAGCTCAAGGCCAGCATTTCCGAGACTGATAAAGGAAACTGGAAGAAAACTGTGCGCGTCACATTTTGTACTTTTAATAAAATCCAAAATGAATTTTTAATTCATTATCGTTCAAAGAGTTCGCGAGTTTGTTAAAAATTATTCATTTAGGAAGATAGTGAGAACCTTTATCTTTAACTTACCTTTAACCGAAAGCAAACTAAACCAAAGTGAACTTGATTAGCTACGATAAATCTGTCATCCTTTAGTACAAGACTTTCGAATTTCTTTGCCAATCGCACGTGCTGAAAATACAAATATAAATTCTTATTTGCATCCTCATCTAATACATTTATGAAACAAAAAATTCGTTTTAGTCTGAAGTAATTTAATTTCAAAGCTGTTTTAGAAGTTTACAGAAGCATTTAATTGTACTGTAAAATATATTAATCTCATCTACCAACATAAAAAATCTCACTATTTACAAACATCATAAAAACATTTTAAAACTTTCAAATTTGCCGCCGATAAAAGGTGTTTTAATATTTTCCACGTCATGCATTGCGTGGCTGAACAAAGATATAACCGCATCACCCAGCAAAAGTGTGTTAAACGCCGCAGAGACGAAAGTTACAACGAAACAAACAGTTTTCAGCATAAAATGCATGGTCGCACGTTAAGTGCTTAGGCGCGCTGAAGGACATTTTGTAATTTATCACAGACTCTGTGCTTACGTTTTACTGGAACATCTGTGAAGTAGAACATACATTAGTTTCCTTTAACAAACCTTGCCTGAGTTGATGCAGATTGTACTAACAGTCATTTGCCGTAAATTCCTATATAAGGAAGCGTCATGTCATTCATTTGAGCACTCAGGTGCGTGTTTACTTGAAAATCACATTTCAAGGCCAATGGATTCTTATATGTTGCGACATTGTTTGTCCTCCACACTCACCATATTTGTCTCCTTTGGATATTTTTTGTGGAGACATACGAAATGAGTCATACAAGTGACTCCCATTGATTCCGAAAAGCAACTAGCCTCTTCAGATGTCCAATAAATGTCTGGGATTTCCCATAACATACGAGCGTCTTTGTGTCAGGATAGTTAGTGGTGTGGTGTATTTAATTATGGCAAAGCACACTAGGGCTATCTGCCTAAGGTTGTATCAGGATAGAAAGTATGCGAAACATGTTTCAAATGTGGTGGTCACTAGTTTTGAGAAGATTTTGTAATATTAAATAATATCATTATTTATTTATCAATGACTGCCAATTTTATTTATTTATGCATTTCATTTAATGACAGCAGTTAAGCTACTCAAGTCAAGCATTTGTCGATAATAAGTTTCCTTTTGTCCTATCTGACAAAGCTTTGTTTTTATTTTGTGCTTTCATATCTTTGGATCGCAACAGACGGTGTTTGTGATACAAAAAGTGTCGTCCACAGCCTTATGTGGTATTTTCTCCCTCTTTTCCGCTTGACTTCGGAGTATAACTGGATAACATGTCCATCGCGCAATCAGGAAGTCCAAAGTTCCAATCCCAGAGAGGGCATTGCACATTTTTTCAGTTCAGTGTTCTGCATCGATACGACTTAATGACTCTACAGCTGAACAGCTTAACGAGCGACTAAGGATTCTATGAAAAAAGGTTTTATTTTGGTGAGTTCTATCACTTCCAAAATTTGCTTTATTTGTTTTGAATCAGCCTGTGCATGAGACACTTCGCTTTACGAAATCCTGCTTTGGGTAACCTCTGAATTATGCATCCAAACTATAAAAATAAAAACGTAGTTATATTTTTAAAAATGATAATTCAAACTATTTCCCAAATATTTCGAATTAATATAAACAATCATATGCAGTGTATAGTAGCCATGGCTAGACCAGTTTGGAAGATAAATTTGAATTAACAATTACAATTTTCCTGAAAAACACTATTAGGAAAGAATCTTTTTATGAAGATAGGTATTTCTGTTTACTATATATATGTATATTGATAAAATTACATTTGCTTTTCAATCGGAAATTTATTTTTTAGGATACAAATATAAACATAACATCTTTAATGTCAACACTAGCTTATCCCAAAGTTTCATGTTAGATGAAACATGTTAAACATAACAGTTTTAAGGCTAAAATTAAGCTGACTTCTTATATAAAACTGCATATGTAGCAGAGCTGATAGATACGTGGTAAAGATTACGAAGAATATATTCAAGATGTTCGTAGTAGACTTTTTTTTTATTTTGTTTTTTGTAGGCTCCTTACAGCAAAAAGAAATGTTTCCAAATATAAATGATCTCAAAATAAGACATCATTAACAGGGAATGTTTGTAAACTGCTGTAAATGTTTCTCCAAGCGGCTACAATTAAAAAGAAGTCCATTACTTTATGTTGCGTTTCTATTTGACGTCTTATGGACATGAAATCTGCAAGCTTGGAAGTAAATTTGATGGCTGCTGAGAATGTAATAGTAGATGTTCTAAAATGTGTTTGATGTTTTCTTAAATGCTGAAACCTATTTCCAGATGCAATGGTAATTAATGTCTGTCATATACTTTCATGAGAAGATAGAGTTTTAAGAAAAGAAAAGCGGCATACATTTCGAAGTTTATGTAACGTTTTTTCAAGCAAAATTTCTGGGCGTATTAATTTGTCACTCTTATTATGAGGAACGCTGTCATTAATTTGTAACATCTATTAGTCTCCTTAAAAAGGCGTGTTCATTTCATTTAAATAAAAAATCGTATAAATTTAAGACCATTCAACCAGTTTTCATCTTCAAACTCGATTTTGTATGCATTTTACCCTTTCTTTTTCGGTCGTATAATACGGGTCTGATTTAGACACACCTGCTTTAGATAATTATAATGACATTCTAGTATATTAAGTTTCTATTACAACTTTAAATACTAAACTACAATAAACTGTGTTTTATATTGTAATGCTTACCTTAATTTCTCTAACAGTTAATTTTTAGTTACTTTCCTCCCTTTTCTGAATTTCAGCTTACAACTTCCGGCCAGTGCGTGTTTTCAGAATCGCGGTCAAATGCAAATTAGGAAGAGAAAGGATATTTAACTATGAAGTTCTACTGACTTCGTTAGAGAGCCAGAGATTCTATGTAACGCTCGTTAGCCTTTTGGCTATACTCTCTTTGAAGCTATTATTACGCTCGGCCGCACTTTAGGCCCTTGATAGCTTCGCCGTTAGTTAGCGTTAAAGGGCCAACTCTGTTAGAATTTTGATAGCTTCGGCTCTATCTTTTAGCTTAGTTAAGCTTTATTCCTTAGCTCCTGAGTTCAAGTCCAAGTGGAGGCTTTATTGTAAACTCCAAGAAGAAGTCGACAGTTAAACTTTATTTGGAATAATAAAGGGTATTTAACTCTTCTAGAGTATCTGTTCTCTGTCTATTGAACTAAAACGAGTATTCGTTTACGAGTTCTTAAGATTCCTCAACTTTAGCTGTAAGTCAAGGGAGCAATCTTACAATTTATTAACTTTTATTTTCAGCTATGAAAGTAATGTGCTAGCCAGAGAGAAATCAATTTGAGTACTGACTTCGAAACCTCAAAATAATTTTGCTTTATCGGAAGAATTTACTTTTTTCATCCTCAAAATACTGGTTACTTAGCGACAAATTTAAACAGTTTCTTCTAACAGGGTATAAAATTTTCACTCTAGAAATAATTAAAATTTATATACTGCGTTATAAACATAGATGAATAGCTATGAAATATTTACTACATATTGTTTAAGTTTCATTCTAAATACGGGAATTTATTTTTCTTTGGGTGATGATATTTCTACCATTTCATTGATTCAAATTCGCAATTTCAAAAGATATATTTTGAAGTAAAACGCATATAATTAATTATTCTTTTAGCACAAGTGATTTATATTCACTGACCATAATCATATTACATTCTAAACTGTAACTTTTTGTAAACGCCCTAATCAGGCAATGTAGTGCATTAAAATTTTCTTACTTTAATCTGAAACATTTTTGAAGAAGGATATGAAGTATTCTGCAGCGTGCCTTGCTCCTGGGAGTAACTTTGAATAATACATTATTTTTTAACTTAAAACGAATAAATTTCCTCTTAATTATGGTTATTTAAAAATATGAGATTAGTTATTAAAAACCGAATTAAATACAGTTTCTTCTTTGAAATGACGTTAGTTCACATTTAATCACAGAATAAATACTTCTGAGTTTTAAAGTTACATTTGTATATGCGTGTATGGAATCTAAATTATGGTATGTCTTCACTCCAAATATATGAAATCCTACAGTCAGTAGACAGATTTTTAAATGTCCTGTCATTTCATTAAAACACGAATAAAAGGAATGATGTGTTATAGAGGTGCCTTGCTGGTTAGAGTTTCTCCCCTTTGTTGAAATTTACATTTTTCGAAGTCCTCACTCATATACCTGCTATTATCAATTTATTACCAATTAAAAGGGAAATGTTTAAGAAGTTAGTATAAATAGCCTCTTAAATTATAATTAATATTTTTAAAAAGTGTCACCCATAACTATCCTATTTATAAAATTGTTACCTACTTCTTTTCTCATTCTGTTTGAAAACGTTTACAGGGAAAACTAAATTCTTTTTCAGAAATACGGGAACATTTTGTTCATTTGAACAATAAAATTATTGTTAGATGTTTGAAGGGCATTTAATGAATAAACATTTGTTTCTGACCATTTAAATATAACCAGCTTTCATTTCCGACATTATTTTGATCTAAATCAAACAAAGGATAATGATAAGAAAAAATACAGAAGATTTTCTTACTTCACGAATATACTTTTGTAGCCCCTCGACTCCGTATTTCCTGATAACAAACCAGAGTTTCAACGAGCGAAATCTTCTGCTTAAAGGGATTCCCCAGTGCTGAAAATTAGTAATACATATTAAATACGTAAGTATTAACATTGAAAGTGTTTTTGTAATATAATGCAGGCGTTATTTTTGAAAACGTCTATTAGAAATATGGTAAAATATGTGCTGTAACGAATTAATTCTATAGCACATATTTTAGTGAAAAGAAGAAAATACAAGCATTTCAGAACCATTCTTGAAAATAATGCTCAGATTACACCTTTCAAATTTTGAATATATTACTATATGGTATGGTCAAAAGTGTAATACATGGTTTGGTCTAAAGAAAGCGTTGCACAAACATTATTGAAAATATAGCGCATATTGTACTTTCGAAACGTTTAATGTGTTACCACGAGGAAAGAATTCTGAATAATTCAATCATTTAGGAAGTTATAAAAAGGACCTTAATTTTATCGCTAGGTAATCATGCGGTAAACAATGGAATTTTGCACGAACATCTGAAAGGGGCACGTTTACCAGATATGAATCACTAGCACAGGTAATTTGTACTTAACAAAATAAGCATTGACTTATACACTGCCGACCATTAAAATTACTACATCATGAACAAAAGCGGTTCTTATTTATTTTGCAAATATATTAAATATATTTTGATGGAAGGATGAAATACAGGTAATTTTGAAGTGCATAATAAGTTGAAATAAGTACTCCGAGCATACGCCTCTGGCAACTCAATAGTAACTATTCTATGACTTGGTATGGAGTTGAACAGGTGAAACGTCCTGTTTTTTTAAGTCCACGTGGCTTCAATTCGACCCCAGATGTTTTCTCTCTCTTTAGTTGGCAGCTTTTTCCATGCCTTTTCCCTGCAACTACTAATCAGAAGATTTTGACTAGAGAAAGATTTAAAGCAGTGGTTCTAAACCTTTCTTGCTCCATACACCCCTTTCACTATTGCTTGTACATCATTCCCCCTTCCTTTCCCAAATTCGAAAAATTCATATACATCTATCCAGATTTAGATCATAATTTTAACGGCACAGCAGGAGACAGACAAAGTCAGGTTGACCGCATTCCCCTCTTGAAGCTTCGGAATTTTTCTCTGGTTGAGAGACCCCAATCTAGAGAATACACCGGCCAAGGCAAGGCCAAAATCCTGCGCATTTCGGCAACACATGATTTTGCAAAGTTCTATTAAAAGGTGAAGCAACAAAGGCACTGACACAAACTCAGACATTAATGACCACTGATATTACATAGGATTAAAAGTTCAGTAATATAACAACGCTTGCTCTAAGTAATGAATACGGCTTAGAGGTGAAAGTGCTGTGTACGTACTGGCATCCCATGCAGAAAACCAGGTGGTGGGTGGATATGCCGAGGAAAAAAATGAAGCTTCCAACTTTCGTTCTCCTCAGTGTATTCACATATGTACACAGCCATCATAATGCTATAAGTCAAAGGAGGAATTCTTCAGAAAAGATGATGTCATACCAGTTTTTTTCCAATGGCAGGCTCTAGCTGTTCATAGGCGTTGGCAACTACTAAGGTCGGAAGCGAGTGTTTCTTTCCTACGAAAGCACCTAATAGGGGGCCACCGTTACCTATTATGAAGGAACAAACAAATTACATCCACGCCTTCTCCAGGCCTCGAATCCGAGCAATGCGTCCATTGATGCGTCTATCTGCGGTGCTGAACGTACTAATGCTGGCGCTGATTTCTATGCTGCATCACCAAAAAAACTATAACGAAGCTATAGTTACTTGGCTGACAGTCTACAGCTTTGCACATTCAGGCTACGATTCGCCTGTGAATGAATCCTGAGGCGCGTTGGTAGGAGTATTTCCCACGTTAAATTCTACTAGGACCTACAATACAAAAAATAATGAGTAAACGAGATTTACGATTCAAAAATTGGCTTCTCAGTCTGACTTTTTTATATTGTTTCGAGGTGTTATTACTCTTACCTATAATATATTCAAGTGGCGAAATAATGATCATTTACAAATCCTAACAAGTTCTTTATTTCATGAAAATTTCAGTTTTGTTATGCTCTTCTTTCATGTATAAAGGTCAGCAGTGTATCCATACTAAATTTTATATACCCTTATAAATCAGTGAAGTTCTGGCAAGGTAATCAAATCTAGTATATAAGATAAAAATCTCCAATTAAGTGAATCGTGTTTTGATATCTTATGTTGTCCACTCTCATATTTTCTTCGTTACATGGAAGGTCTTCCAACACTAAACTCTCAGTTTCTTTCAAAAAATATATTTTAATCTACCAGCAGCTAACATATAATAATATAGGAATTAGCTGTTAATATTCCATAGAAAACCACTGTCTCCAAATTTTTTAAACATGGGATTTGTGAACATCAATGGAAAAATTCCAGACGAACTTCCTAGCCAATAATAAACTTTCGGACGAAATTTTAAAATTTCATCAAATCTGCGAAACAACGTTGCATCGCCGAATACTATAGTCAGATAAATCAAATTTTCAATTTCCTTTTCACATTTATTCAGTAATAAAAATTTTTAACATTAATTACTTCTACATTATAAAAAGTATTTCTGCATATTCTGAGCTGAGCACTGCTTTTTTTCCAAATAATTTCAACGTTTTATCGGAAACGCTTTAGAAGTTTCTGAATGAAACTGCAGTCTGCCCTTGGGTGAATTTTAAACGGATTTAGGAAACGAACACAGTGGATTCTAGACCTTCAAAAAGAAAACAATTGAATTAATATTAACAGCAAAATTCCTGTACATGAAGCAAAAACGCTTTTAGTTATTAAGGGTAAAATTTCTGTTGGGGTTTGAGCAGTTTTAAGAATTTTCCTCTCTTGGGTCAAGACAATATGTTGCTATTATTTCAAATGGCCTGACAATTTGCAACTTAACACATTCTTCGAAATGGTCATTACCGATTCGCCATTTATTCGTCTCATCACCACCTACGTTCCCCAGGGTGCACCACAAGGGACAATCGAATCAAATCTATGAGAAAAATAAAAAGTGATAGCAAGAGATTTTGATGGAGAACAGCCCTGTAGCGGATCCAAGGGTCTTTTACTTCTTTTACACTAAAATTCTCAGAGAATACTTCTCATTTTCTAGTACATACAATGCCCCTCTCCATGCCGCACAGACACTGTACACTTACAAGCATCCAGGTCTTCTTGGACATCAAGCAGGGCACATAGATAAACCACCCTGCATTCTTAGCCACTCTAAATCTCAGGTTAAATACTCGCTAGAGGCTTCATCTTGCAAACATTAAAATCTGTTCTTTGAACTTAATTACAGGAAAATTCTTTAGGGTTTATTTCTAATATATTATATACATTGAATTCTTATTAAAATGAAACTGTTTTCAATATTTTATAAATATTCTTCTTTTTTTAGGGCTGCGAGTAACGTTAACTTGGAATCAAGTTGTTAGTCAATGTCTAAAAATTAAGAAGACACTGAATTAGACTTTGAATTTTAAATCACATTTTTATACAGAATACAATGTGATTTGTGTTCTCTATACACATTCTGTATGTGATTTGAATACATACAATGTGATTTGGGTAATGTTTCAAAATCATATGCACTCAAGCATTTGAAATCAACAGATATTGCGCAAGAAGGCATTTAAAGAAAATTTCTTATTTCTGAAATTTAAAAGAATCCAAGTGAAATTGCAGTTGACAAAGTAGTAAGAAAAATACACGCCTCATTGACTTTGAAAATGAATTAGATAACGCATCCGAAATGAATTCATAAATTTGGAGGAAAAGTATAAATCATATACTAGTGTGCAAAACATAAGCAACTTTTCTGATTTGGTCTGCAATTACAAAACTTCAACTGGGAGACTGGAAATTGATACCACAGAGACGCAATATAGATGACGAAATTATAGTAACAAAAAAATTAATAGGACGCATACAGTGCGGAACGAGTAGAAAAAGAATGGCGTTGGTGCAATAAACTGTCTATCCAAGAGGAATAAACACAAACCAGAAAGCCTTAATAAGGGATATGACCTACTACCTGCAATGTTTGCGTTGCACCGTCTATCGACACTCAGCATCAGATCATCTAGCATTTCTTGGGGTAAGAGTTCCCATTCTTCAAACAGCATATGTTTCAGTTGCTTGGTGTTCTCCGGAGGATACGATTGTGTCACCAGGTGTCTCCCTAAATTTTCCTACACATATTCAGAGGGATTTAAGGAGAGCCACGCTGGCCAATCCACTCTGTGTATATCAAGGTTTCTTCCAACAGCGTGAGTCCTGTGTAGCCATAGATTGTCATCTATAAAATCGACGTCGGGACCAATGGCACCATGGAAATGACACAGGTGGGGAAGGATAACTTAATGACAGTAGCGATTAATGATTATTGAACATCTGTCGAAAATGTTGAGCTCCGTTCGTCAGTTCATAATACTTCCACCCATACGGTCTCGTTTCCTTATGTTAGTGGGATGAAAACATGTTCCTACCTATCTTCATATCAGCTGCTACTGAGAATAGTTTGTCAGACTGAAACTCCATTGTTGAGGTATCCAGCCTACACATTGTAAACGGGGCCGCCGATGGTCTGCTATCAGTAGTACGTAGCATTAACGAATGGCAAACAAATAGGCCACTTTTATGATGTTGTCGGGGAGCAGTAAAGCGGGACATATATCTTCCGATTGCGTTAGCAATTGCTGAACAGTGTTGCCAGTTGTTTTTCTTGACCGACCATCACCAGCCTTTCTTACACTTTACCTGTCATTTGCAAGACTTTCTAAGCCCGTGAAACAACACTTCTATTCGCTTCAAACTCTTGGGCGACAGACGTCAAACTACGCACCTTCTCAAACTTAGCAATCATTTTCTCACGTGCAAAGATGTCTTGATGTTTTCTTGTAGTCATACTGCAAGTACAATCACTTTCACTTGCATACGATAGACTGAAAATGCTCCTTTCTTTCTTCTTTTTAAGTTGCCTTGCACTGCCTGCACTATCTTCTCGTGTTTGAATACCCGAACGTACCCTTTGA